AATCGATGGGGTCAAGAATACTAGTCCCAATTTGTGCACCAGAACCGCTATAAGAGCTCTCCGTGCAAGTTGCTAACGGCCATAGTTGGCAAGAAATGTACCAAAAAATTCATTTTGCAGTGCTAAGCAGGCGCCAGATAACTTATGTGTCAAAAATGGAACTCATGTCTCAAAAGAACTCATGTCGTCGGGCATTCAAAGCAGGGCATTCAAAAACCGCTCGTAGGTAACACTAGGGCTAAGCGCAAGAGAGGGGAGGAATGCCAGGGATACAAAAATTACTGACATGCTTTCCCAAGATCCTTTCCCCTCCCTAAAGCTTAGTCAGTGGTACTGTAAGTGCCTCGCTCACTTGTATGCCTCCCCTCCCCTCCCCCCCCCCCAACGACATAAGCGCCTCAAAAACAAGTGTCATACTCGTAATTAGGCCACCTGTTAACCACTGCAGGCTAAGCTTTACAGAGAAAATGAAAAATGCTGATGCGAATATATAAATTAGCTAGAGACGTCTGGTGACGCTGCATTTCATGCCAACATCGACCGCTCACAACTTTCTTGAAATCAGGTAGCAGTTTTGGCCTTCATACTTGTAACCCGCATTCTTGACCCGACGATTCACTCGGTTTCCAGTCAAAGTTCCATAGAAACTCAAGAGCCCTCCCAGGTAAATGGCACATTTTGCAAGATAGCTGTCACAGCTTCCATAATAAACATTTTCGAAGTTTCGTCCGGCGCTCGCTTTCAATTTAAGGAAGCGATTCATGTCAATGAATCATTTTTGCGGCGGCAAATGCTCCAAACAGTGAACGCAGCCAATTCTCTTCATGCCCGCTTTCTTGAAGCATGAGCCTTATTAGCCTTCACTTTCAATGATTGCTTTTGTGACTGACAAGCTCCTGGGCTAGAATGATGAGATCTTTGGTTATTGCTTCTTTAACGCCTGAGCTGAATATTTAGCGGATCGGAAGAAAGAAGTCATCACTCAAAGGTACCGGTCACCATAATTTAGGTATTTATATAGTGGAAAAGTGAGTAGTGGAAAACGTCTGTGTTCTCAAAAAGACGAAAACGTAGAGGTTTCGCGGGGGAACGAGCGCCATCAGGTGTGCGATTGCCGTAAGGTATGCTTCCGAAGGGTTAGGGGACGAAAGTTCCTTTAAATTTTCTCTGTAGTCCCAACTGGGATTGTCCTGATAAAGGGCCTACATCTAATATATGTGTGTAGCTTAAAGTAAGCATGCATTGAAAATAAAGAAACAGTATCGTTCAAAACAAAAAATTTAAAGGGACTTTCGTCCCCGCAACCATTCGGGGAAGCATACCTTACGGCCCAGGTGTGGGCGATCTGTCGCTAGTGAATTGCTCAGAAATGTTTCTTGAGAAACGCCCAAACCAACCTGCCATTTGGGGAGAAGGCAATAACTCACTCTCACTAGCATACCTTGCCTCTTGATACTAAGTTAAGAACATATTTTGGCATTCATCTGTCACAGCGCATCTTTTGTTCTACGATCTCCAATTCTTAGACAATCAAACCGCTCCCTACTTCCTCAGGTTATCCGCTATCCAAAACCCCTGTCTTAGCTATATGCTCTCCAACATAGACAAAATTAATATGGCGTCTCCATAGCCAAAATCACAGCAGCCCAGAGAGGGCTCGATTATCGAGTCTCGACATTTGCTTGGCTTCTCTTTCCACTACCGCTCACTTACCACCTCTACCATAACATAAACTGTTCCGCATGTTTATAGTTTCATCAAGGTTCGGGGCTTAAAGGCACAACCCAGGCAGAGGTTTTTTATAACGCTTCTCTTCGGTCAGAAGTATAGAACCCTAGGGGACAATCACAAATGTGGCGTTCTCGTGCACGGAATTCGACCGATAAGAACGCTTGGGCTTGCAAAGTAAGCTCGAACGTCTGTCCAGCACTTTTTTCTCTTTCAGGCTGTTGTCTGGCGATCTCTCATCTGTAGCGCTCTCTCGCCCCATACTCTCCTCTCCGCGCTTAGTCTCTCATTCCCTTAGCACAGCCGATTAGGAAGGTGAGTGAGCCCTTAACCTAAGCGTTTTTGACGGATTCTTTTCCTTTTTTCTTTACTGCCGGCCCACTTTCCCACAATACATTCGCATTCTTCGTGTACAAGAGCCACACCAATGTGATCCTGGCCATGCCGTTTAAGGGTTAGGGGGAGTTATAAATAAGAGAGCATTAAGGCTTACTATCAGAACACCAGTTTTTCATGACGTCAACTTATCGTGACGTTAGCTTTTAGCGATCGTAACGAATGGTTCACGGTCGTGTCGCATAAATCTCATCCATGTTTTGATGGCGATGAACTTTGGAACCTGATACATAGCTGAATATTCCAGCTCAAAAACCCGTTAGTCATGGAAACAACATCTGTGAATGACAGCCGTGAAGAGTTCCCTATTGCTCCTTCGCCATCGGGATTTTTCGATTTAGCGTCGGTCCGAATACCGCACAGTGCGAGCTGCTTCACGCACAATTCCAGAGAGATGTACGAAAAAAAAGCTTAAAAACCGAAATCACATTGCAAGTCCGTTATTAGGACCAAGGATATCGATGTGCACCCATTAAGCCATGAACAGCGCTGCTCGCTCTCATATCACCAACTGCCCTTTTCCGCCTATCGCTGTGCTAATTCTTAACTATATTGAGAAATCTTATCATCGCCTTCTATGAACCTTTGACCTTTCATCCCTCGCTACCATCAAAACCGCTTCTGTCTCGCAAGGGGGTAAGAGGCAGCAACAGGCAGATGGCAAATAGGTTTGATGAGTTGTAATTCTGGTCGGTGATTGATTCATACTTTTGGGCTTCTCGGCTTGTTGCAAGTTCGACTATTTCGAGACGATTAAGAAAGAATTGAATTAGTCCAAATATCTTTCACCTCTTGATAATGCTCCCAAACGCAGCAAAACAAACGCGGTCGACCCACCTTTACTATAGCTATTATTCATAAGCGACAACTCCCGAAGCAAAATCCATTCAGATTTATTCATCAGGATCCGATGTAGTACACAGCGGCCCTCTTTAGGTAGCTGTTCCACCGTCCATGCCGTCTTTTATTGAGAACAAACAGAAATGTAGACTTCATAAAAGAGTTTTGTTATTATTCAATAATTCAATAATTTAAACTTCAATGATTAAGTTTGTAAATATAAATGTATAATTTATAAGGGGTCTGGAAAAGGTAGTCTAGTTTCCGTTTCGCACATGCCCTTAGACGTGAGGAAATGTATTGAGTTGGCAAACCAGGATGAGGGGGGGGGGAATCCGCTCATAGCTCATGAAGCTTAATCGATCGCATACGCTATAAACTCCAACTTTTTATGGTTAAGCTAGGCAGCCTCCAGACTCTGCGAACTCTCGAAGACGCATTCGAGGATAGCCAGGCGCGAGCTGCCACATTCAGTAATAGAAACAGGCCCGCTATTAGACCTGCTCTAGCTTAGCGCCACGAAGAACCAAAAACTAAAGAATGCGCGAAAAACGTCCTCATGCATATCGACCGCCACGTTGAGGAAATATATCCTGTGATAAGATAAGAATTAGATAAGAGACTGCCCAATTAATCAACCACCGTACAACTTTCTGATTTCCGACTGTTCTGACCAAGGAATCTTTTACTTTTCGAGGCGTCGTTTCTTTCGAAACTTCATTATAACTCACTTTTTCAAAATCATATCAACTTTATCGGCAAAACTCTGCTACCATGTGACCGCAACCGCCTGCGTGGGTGGTTTCGGTCGCAAGGGGCGTGGTCAGGCCTTCCATATAAACTCCTAGCGCTCGTCTTACTCACTTTCAAGTCGATAATTTGGAACCTTCTCTCCGTGGATTTAAGTCCGTGTGAAACAGTTCCACTAAGCTATTACAAAGTGTGCCATTAGATATGTTATTACAACTTCTCCCTCATTTCGAAATTTAGCACAACCATAGAAAAAAGTGCCACACAGCAATGCAAAAAGTTGATTTCAAGATAGAACATATAAAAAACTGTATAAAAAGGTAGTGTGAGAAGGGGAAGCATAAATGTTTTATCGTCATACCCTTCGACCACCTCCAAAGCGTAAGAACCGCTAAGAAATGGTGAGCGCGAAAACAGAATGACAGAAACTTAACTGGAATGGCGAGAAAACCACATCAATAAACAAGCCATGCGGTGCGAAGTAAAATTCAGATTTCAAAAATTTGAGATTCCCGCTATTCTCAATGGTTGGCAAAACGCCAACCAAACGCTACCGTATGCCAGTATTGGGTGTGCAAAAGTGTGCGGCGTCGAGAAGGGCGGTGCGCTGATTTAACAGGTGTTCCATTTCATTAAAAAAGTTTCAAATGCGGGTAATGTCGATCAATACCTTCAAACCTGAGGCAGGATTTTGCCATTTCTCGATTTAGCGGTGCTTGAGACCGCTGGGAATATTTCGTCCTAACCGAGTATTAAATTCTTCGCCTCACAAGTTTCTTCCGGCAGTCGTTTCACCTTCTTTCGTTTGTATTTATTTTTCGTTTCTATTTGTGTGGTTTAGGAAGACCACGTCAAACAGAACACTTTATGGCCTCGCAGTTGGTTCGTTCTGTTGCTCGAGCAACTCTTTCTCGAGGGAATGTAGTGAGAGCACTTTCAACTACGAACGCTCTTTCCGCCAAGGATAATGTCATGGAAAAATGGCCTGCTGAGAGTAGGTTCCTTGTAATTCACTATTACACTTCGTTCATCAATGCTATTTTGATCTTTTTTAAGTTTAGTAATCATCCATCATTTTAAAATTACTCGAAAGCGATCATGGATTTATGCCGAATTTTTTGGAGTGAAAGTGATCTGAAAGAGGCCAATGTCAGACTAAGTCTGTGGTTATAGGGGAATCGGATTCGAAGTGCCAGTAGGGGCTGCAGAAATGCTGATGTGAGCATGCAAAATTCGCAGGGTATGGCGTCATGATTCATAAATTAGGGAGGAAAGTGAAGACTTCACTGTTTTCATCCCTGTCAACGTTGGTAAAGGTAACCGCGAGTTCACCTCCAGGCACCCGTTTTGCTCCATTTGTGGATATGAGTCCGGTAGACGCTTTCATCACCTCCAAATGGCATTGGGATACTCATTAGGAGCTCCTATTTTCTGGATTCATGAGAACTCCGTTATTTAATGTCAGATTGCCTGACTCCACAAATCTGGCTTCGTTGTTTAATTACAATCTTAAATTTATTTTTAATTACCTGATGTGATGTCATGGTCAAAAAGTTGCTATATAGGGTTCGACAAGCACTTTATTGACTACCTCAGTCGACCGGAGATCGATGGCTGGGAAGTAAGAAAAGGTGTGTGCATTTCCATTCTCATTTCTAGTTTCGATTTCTTTTTCAATGCACATTCGATTTATATCAGTTATTGCGGTTTCATGACTTACTTTCAAAGTATGGCGTAAATAACGTTTCAAAGTATGGCGTAAATAACGTTCAATACTCAATGTTAGAGAGATGCCGTTAGATCCTTTCACATTGACCGGGAACATGCATAGATTTCAATTTCGTTTACAAATGAGCTGTGGAAACAGGATGAGCGGAATTTTGACAGGGGGGGGGGGGGGGGGGGAGGGGGGGTGGGGGGGGGGGACGGGGGGGGGGGGGGCATGTGAAGTTAGAAGTTTTGTTTTCATCGTTTGCATGCTTATTTCAGCCCTTACTGAACTCCACGACTACGATGTTATTCCTGATCCCAAGGTCGTTGAAGCTGCTCTGCGTGCTTGTCGTCGAGAGTATATATCCTGCATTGTGGTAACGATTCTTGAAAGCAGTGCAAGATTACGTGCTGGATTCAGAAAAAGAATAGGGAGGTCGTCTATGGATACATTATTAACGAGGTTTGTTTTCTACACAGTGTTTAACGTTAGCCTTGAATTTTATTTCCTCCATTTTAAATCTAACTATTCTTCTACGATTTATCGCACATGTAAAGGAAAGTCCTGATCTAAACTGGTATTCTGTTTTTTTTTTTCAACTATCGCGTGTTTTACAACACGTGATGCACTTTCGCGCGCTGTAGTGCTAGCTGTACTTAAAATCGATGAAAGCGAGGATATACCAATGTATGGCATGAGAAATATGGAGTATCATCCAGTAAAGGGGCACGTGATGCGTCAGTTGGTTAAATCTAATCTTTTTTCAAGGCGAAGAAAAATCTCCTGGGTACGTGACCATATCGCTTCATTATACCCTGAATCGTAAGGCTCCCGTATGTCACACCATCACGCCCCTCCCCCCTTTTTTCTGGATGAGAACCCAACGAAGGAGCTTCATTGGCAGCAAATTCTTTCTTTGATCATAAATGTCAATTCCACTTGAGGTGAAACCAGTACTCACCGAACTTGGTATTCCAACTCCGGAAGAGCTTGGCTATGACAAACCAGAATTCTTCATTCCACAGCCTGATTACTGGTGGGAGAAGAAATGGTAAGTATCCCAGTCATATTTTTTACTCGATTTTTATGAGCCTTCGCTTTAGGTATGCGGAGTACGGATACGACAAGAAACCCGCTTTCCAGTTTTAACATAGTGTAGATATCTAAGTAGAGCGACTGTTATAAGAAACTTTGGTCTAGATTTGTTGTGGGTGTTATTGTTCCAGTTTGTTGTGAATGAATGAATACAAGTCCAGAGATTATTCAGGAGCTTTTGCTATGCCATGCCTTTTACCAAAAAAATGAAATATCTCAATTCAGAGCTTTTCTTCCTTTTTATTTATCTTCATGTTGAATCAGAAATATGCGGAGTAAAAACGCCAGCCTAAATATCTGGTCGCCCGAAAAACAACTCCACTATTTATTACCCCCTTCTGATGTGGCAGAATGCGCATCAAAAGAATCTTCTTTTTATAGCTAGTTGACTGTAATTGAGCTACTTAAACCTTTCATTCTTCAACAAAACATCAACCGCCAATCATAATTTCTTTTTGTTGAAATATTGGTCGCAATCTTTGAATATGGTAAAACTAAGTGATTGTTTCGTTTCGTCGATGTTTAGTATAGATCTCCTTCTGGTTCACGTGTGGCGTCATCATCATCTAATGTCGGCTCGTCATTTGTTTCAAACATTACACATTTTTCATCATTGAAATTTATCTGTAAGATGTCACATATTACGCAGAGAAAAATTATTCTTGCATGAAAGCTCCTAAGCGCCCACACATTCGTATTGTGTTTCTACAATCAGCAGGAGCCTGGTGCTTTCTACAATCGTTTCTTTAGAAGCTGTGCGGAACGTCGCTGATACATTTCAAAGCTGTAGCCTACCGCGCGTATGGTGCACGCAGTTGAGGGTTGTTGATCTTGGTTAAAAGACTGGCGATTGTATCGACGGCAATCATCAAATTATCACGACCACACAGTAGCGCACTTGGCCTTTCTTCTACTGCGCGATGCGTCTTGCTGTTTCTCTGGCATTTCTCGATCTGATGGTAGTTCTATCTCACGAAGTTGGTCAATGAACTGCGTTTTCAGCTTCTGAAATTCGATATATGACAGTGAAAGAGGATGAGGATGGTTTAATTCAGCTGGAAGTTTTGTAATACTAATGGAGCCGCGGTGGTTGGTTGCTGAAGCTGAAAGACACGTTCCACGATGAATTGAGTCAGTTACTCTTATGGGTAGAATAAGAGCAATAGCAAAGCCGTTCTTGTGGCCTGAGTGTGACTACGGTGGTTTTGTTCACGATGCAGGAACTTACAAGATCCGATGTCTGCGTCTCGCCTATCACTTACGCTTCTAGAGCACTCGCTCATCGTCCAAAAAAAGTGAAGCCTTCACTCTCAGTGTTGACGGCAGTTTCTATTCGTTTTTTCAACGGCCCTCAGCTTTTTTTTCAAGAGCAATAACTATGCATAAGTAGTTGTGAGCGGGCCTTCCTATGCGTAAGAATGAAAACAATTTTGCGAACTCTGACCGTATACATATTGTCGATATTTCCTCGTTTTTCAACCCGCTCTGGATCAACGACCATTTGTTTGTCGCTTGCAGCTTTTTCATAACGATTCGGCGGTTGTTGAATGATGGTCGGCTGGAAATGCTCGTTAGCTGTTGACATGGATTCCATGATGGGTTTGGTATGATCAAAAAATAAAATTTGAAATAATGCGGGGGCGTGCTTTTTTGCAGTTATTCCGTCTACCTACTCCTTGCTTTTCACTTTCCGATTTTCCGTCTACCGATCGTTTCCGCTTCAGTATCAAGCCTTTTCCGAGCGACGCGATTAGTTACCAGTCGAATAGGCAAAAACAAGGTGCTTAAACTTACAGAATCGGTGCAACACCCAGCAGTATTTGGTTCAAACGGACTACGTTGAACGCGGTCCGCTAAAATCGCCCGCATTGGAGATCCCGCCGCGCTCGCTTCGCCTAAACAGTGGCTCACGACTATTGGGTGACCTCACACATTCAAACATTTTGCCCAGTCGTAATTGGGCTCCCGCACCCCAGGTCTCTCCGCTCGAAGGGCTCGTTCGAGGCTCTCACCTTCTTCCTTGGAATTTGGAACCGAGCCAGGTGCCGTTCTCTTGTCGTCTGTACTCTCCGCCATTCGGGGCAGGATCATAGAAGAAAGTGGGAGCAGATACGTGACTACTTGAACTTTTCTTCTTTCATGTATTCTCTTGTGGCGAATGGCTAGAGCAACAGATGTTAGAGACACGGCACCCTGGCTCGGCTTCTAAACAAGGAGGAAGGTGAGCAGCCTAGGACTAAGCCGAGGTGGGCGGGGGGAGAGACCTTAGGTGGCTGAGTCTTAAAGCAACAGTTCAGGGAGGGTCCGAAAATTTCAATGCCACTACTACTGAGGGATACACGAGCCCTAGTGAAGAACATATGCAGTGGAAATAATAAACGAACTTACCTCAGAAACTCAAAAACAGGGTGGAAAGTCCCTCAAACATGGGTGTTCTTGGGGATTTCCCCAATCCCGCCCCCTTGCCGGCCGTCATTGGACGCGTCGGCAATCGTGCTCGTTTTGGGACCACAGGGAAAATTGATTGAAAAATGGAGCGCGTTTACAGCGGGCACGTTCAGACAACTCGTCCAACGTGCGTCTTTATCCATTGCTGAGCGGCAGAGGGAGAGTACCTGTCTAAGACCCTCCCCGACGTTTTTTTCCAGTTTTTCATACATTAATCGTCTGGTTTTCATCTACAACTTCATTATTGGTGGTTTTTTCCCGCGAAACCGTTCCTGAACTGTTGCTTTAAGGCACTGCGGACCACGTTCAATTGCCCACCTCGAATGAGGATTGTCACCGCTGCTTCAGTAAGCCAATAATCTAATCGAAAACTTCAACCAGCCACGCACAAGATATGACTAGGATCCAGGGTTGAAAAGAATGGTGGATTTTGTAAACTAGCCAAATTGCTGGCAGAAAATTCGGAAGATTTGCTATCTTTCCGCGTACGGTGGCGTCGGCCACCATGGTGCGCACTTCGGCTCGCAATGTGTTAAAGCAACAGTCCAGGCAGGGTTTCAACTACTTGGTCATTAGGCGGTCAAAACATGCCCCAGCCCAACTAAAGTTTATAGGAAATGTCTTTAAGTTCAAAACCTACCTCTAAAATGCGCTGGAAGGGGTCGAAGTCCTCTTGGAGGGGGCGGATCACCCATACCGAGGCGGATCGCCCAACATACGCTGTGCAGAGCGCGTGCTCGACTAGCGGTCGTTGCGGGACCGCCGCGCTGTATGAGGTCGATTCCTATAAGAACGCAACTGAACGCGCTTCAATTACGATTGCTGGCAAATAGCCATGTATTTGCAAGCATGCATGGCTATTTGCCAGCAGTTGCAATTGGAGCGCATGTACTGCGGGCAGGTTCGGACAACTCGTCCAACACACGTCTCCCTAAACGGCAGGGGGAGTCCCTGTCTAAGCCCCTGCCCGACGTTTTTTTCTACTTTTTCTTTCTCCATTGACCAACTTCTCACCTGCAACGTCATTATAGGTGGTCCTTACCCGCGAATTCGTTCCTGGATTGTTGCTTTAAATGTTAAGTGCAAAAGGTTGGATGTGTGAGACACAATGCACATGACCTCACTGTTAAGGCGAGAGAGCGCAGACAGGAGCATCAAACTGGGTGGTTCTAACGACCGAGCTCAAGTTGTTCGTGTAATCAAGTAACCCGTTAAACCGAGTATTCCTTCGAGGTTGGGATTGCGGCGCGCGTGCGCTTCACCGCGTTTCTCGTTTCGTTGAGTGCAGATCTTAGGTTGCTTGTGCACACTCTGGTACACTGTGCTGCACTTCTAAGCCTTACTGGAAAGAAAACCTACTGCATAATGCAGAAGAAACCTAGAATGTGAGCTGTAAGGTACTACGCGGTCAATGGACTGCAGCCCACTATGGGCTACATGGGCTTCAAGTTGTTAACGAATCCAGCTTTTCTGATATTTTGAGCCTTTCCCTCTTGAAATGAAGCTGGAACACACAGTCGAAGGTATTGCTTCGCTAGGTCAGAAATATTTCCAGTCAACTTCGATGTTACCGACAGTATGTCAAGATTCTGCTTGTGTATAGCTCTCCAAATGACCATAGACTCACGTCGTCGTCGAGCCTTGTTAGAGTGATAATTTCATCCTCTTGCGTTCCGACCGCTTTCAGTTCTTCAATGCCTTTGATTTCTTTCAGCTTGACAGATTGCATGGTCAACACCGGCTCTACAGCGAGCACACGTGAAAGCTGTTTTATGTTCACAGTCTTAATAGTGCCGTCATCGTGTTGTGTCTTCACGGATTTCATTCTACTGGAATCTTCTCGTCTCATACGAGATGATCGTCGACTTGGCGGTCGAGCTCGCTTTTCAGTCTTCTGCGTTCGACTTTCAGTAACTTCTATGCTCCTCGTTCTACTTACTCCTTCGATCGTTTTCATGGTCTTCATTGTGTTCAGCTGAAACAAATACAAAAAAGTTATTCTTCTCATCACATAAACCGCTAATTTGGGGGGGGAGGTGGGGGGAAAAAGCCTGTGAGGCCAGCTTCGTTTTCACAAATTTGTAAGGGATGATAAATCCCCTGATTTGGGAAGCAGGTCACCCTTGAGGCTAAATCGCATTCAAATCCAACAACATTTAAGAGAGGGAAGCAAGTGAGGATATACAGGGGGGGGGGCCAAAAAAAAAGACATTTTGCCTCCACTTCCAGATGGATTTAAGCACATTTTACTCAACTCAGACCGAACGGTTCCAACTTATTATTAAAGAGTGCATTCCATTCTATAAGAAAATCTTCATAGTGGCCACGTACGTGGACGGCATCAGAAGAATTAGCCCTGGAAACATGGTGCACTGGTCGATCTCAATGGGGTCTTCGAAGGATCGTGTACCATAACGACCCTTACTGGAAAGCTAGTTCCGAGGGGAGTCTAATGCCTCTAGAAAACTATCCAACATTAAATCGATTCACGAAATTGCGTAAGAGCTTCAGGCTGAAGCTCTTACGGTAGACCTCCTTGAGCCTGACGACGGTGACAGATGACGTCATATTCTGAAGACGGTGAGGGCAGTGAAGGAGAGCCTGCGTACACTAATAGAGGAACACTTAGGGAATACTCTGCTGAGGAACTCCCGTCAACGACAGCAATCTCTGCGAAGAAAAAAGAGCCGAAGTCCGACATAGGCAAAATGTCTTTTTTTTCCCCCCCCCCCCCTGTATGTTTAAAAAACAATTAGGTGTTTGCAAATGCTTCAAGATTTATTCGATTCTGGCAGCGATTGCATGAGACAGCTAAAATACAGACCACATTTTATATTATGGATTTGCGTCTCTTCCGGCTTTGTCATGTATTAGGCCATTTTCCGGAATGCGGCCACGCATTTAGCCTCTATTCGGAATCGTAGCACTACTTGAATGTGACTTGACCTGCGCAGTGGCAGTCACAACACTACACTCAACTGACATCGCAAAATATCCCAGCCAGGATAATTGGTTGATCCCAGCACCCTTCTCACAGCATTTTTTCGGTAAGCATGCCGAGAGGCAATCGACACAACAAATTAGTGTTTTGAATGTGATTTTGAACTCTAGTATCGTAACACTCACAGTCTTTTCGGGTTTTTCTATGGTTTTATCTATGGTTGAAGGAGTCCTTTGCGTTGATATCATCATCATGCTCATGACAACATTCTGTTCCGGCTACATTTATTCCGATTCTGTTTCTCTCCCCCGCAGCCTGAATTCGATAGCTCCCGAATTCTCAAATTCTGTTTTTGGCGCTATCGCAATATACGGGGCATGCTTTTGGACCAATTCCAGAAGAGGACAGGAATTTTGGGTAAAACGAAAATTGCTAATGCACTCTGGTGTCTCCAATCTTTCGCCTGAGGCTTATTGTTAGTCCCGATTTTAACAACAAGGAAATCTTTCACGCGATTTCTGATGCACTGCCAATTACAATGCCCCGTATACTGCAATAGCGTCCTCTTTTGAAATTTTTTCATCAGAAAACTAAAGGTCTCCTCATTTTTCGAGAATCAATGTGCGAGTTTTCCATCCAATCTATTCAGAAGCACATTTGCATATTTGGACCAGAGATGTGTAATAAAATGGGCAGTTACTTGATCTTTCATCTTCTTCGCGGGAGCCGGAGCCACAGGCATGGAGGCACGGCTAGAGATTCACTCTTGAAGTGACACTTTAACGCCTTGCGTGAAAGCTAAATTCTGTAACAATCATAACCTCGGCCACAGAAGTATACAGAGAAATGGCATCTTTTGCGGAAAAAACACCCTCAAGCTTTTGGGTATGCCGCAGGAGGGCCCTCGCGCGCCAGAGGTGGGTCAACGACGTGAGCCGCGACGCCGTGATGTGGCGGGTATTTCCATACAGTGGGTGGCATTTCTATTGAACTGGACGGCCGAAAATCACTACAGTACCGTTTGCGACTCTCCGTGACCACTGCCTTGTTGCCGCGCGACGTGCCTCCTGTCAAGTACCCGAGACTTTTATGATCGCTACAGCAACTTCCATCCTAATCCCCTGCGACAAATTTGGTCACTGTTGGCGGAACGAGCTCTCGTGTCACGATGTGCCCCCCCCCCCATCCCCCGTTTGGTAAGTCAACCTCAATTTCCCTTCAATCTTCTTATAGTTAGCACAAGAACTCATAGGAGCTGGTGCCGCCTTAGGCAACGTTCACAGTTGGCGATCGACATGCGATTAGGGGACAGGCGGTAGGCCGGTGATTATAAATAAAAAGCATACGTATTGATTAGGTGAGTGGATGAGAAGGTGATAAGAAAAAGATACGTGTAGTTGCCCCGCCCATTGAACGATCGCCTACTAGATACGTATCTTTTCCTGACAGACTAATCGCCTGATCGCATGTACGATCGCCAACTCTGAATGCTGCCTTAGCCGCATCGTCAGCGCGTTACGTTGAAATGAATATCGATTTTTTGTACGCGCAATGCCGCGTTTTCATTTCTATCAAAGTTATGCTGCAGGGTGGTGGGCTGAGGAAGAAAGCAGCCTAACTCAAGCTTCAAAACAAAATCAGTACCTCTACAGAAGTTTTCCTGCTTGAACACATAAATGACGAGAATACAAGAAATGGTATACAGACCAGGTTAGATATGAAAATATTATAAGGATCTGAAGTATGACAAATTCTGAGCGGCAGGTATGTGAGAAACACCTGTCATTACGGTGACACCCACATCTAGGTAAGCTTAAAGCAACAGTCCCAGCAGGGTGGGCGTGGTCGGAAACGACTGCAATCCCCTCGGCCGATTCCGACCACGCCCACTTCAGCTCCCTCCCTAGCGGCTTTCCAAGGTGAGTTTTTGTTCAGTCACACTTCTTACGTTCTTGACTAGGGGCTGAACAGCTCCGAAGTGGGAATCGGCCGAGGGGATTGCAGCCGTTTCCGACCACGCCCACCCTGCTGGGACTGTTGCTTTGCTGGAACCCTTTTAGCAATGTACGTGAAAGCTAGTGTACTCACTAGGGACATTACCACGCGGAGTGATCCTAGGAAAAGAGGATGAGCTTCGGAAAGAATGGAAATTGCTTCCACAGCCCCTTCCCCTAGGCCCTTGACAGGGCATGAGGAAAAGAAAGCGAGAATGCTTGGCTCTTTCCAAGACTCTGCCCCATTTGCGCATACCAGCATTTTGTACATGCCTGCCGAGCATACTATAGCTGGAGTGTAATCTCAAAAGAGAAAGGACCTCAATGGAACATAAGACCACCTTTTGTGCAATACTAGAGCACATAAAATGACCAACTTTTGGAGAACCCACTGATGAGATAGCCCAAGACCGCCTGTCCCGCCTCTATTTTCTCTCAGCTTAACATCTCGGCCTACTGTCGCAAATTTCCCAGCTGAGAGCTGTAACCAGCATTTTGGCCAGAGAACAATCAACATGGTCTCCCCGACTTTTTCGATACACTTGCTTTTTGCGGTGCTAGGCGGGAAGAAAGACGTAAAACAATCCCGAGCAACCTAAGACGAAGAGTGAATACTCAACCCACTGGATCGACCCAATAGACCCTCGTAATCCGCATCTAAGCAGAAAATTCCTGTCCGATCCCTTCATACCATCACTAGTCCACCTTCCACTTTTTTCCAGCCTACCTGATGTCATAACCGTTACTGCCGTTGCTCATGATTAGGCATCTCCGACAATAGGACTTAAGCTGGCCTTATTTAGTGAATGTCTTACCGGGTCTATGAAGGATGAGATCGTGCAGCATCGAACCGGTGAATATTGAAAAGAAACTACTGGAAATGAACTATACTGCTATTTTCAGATCTGAAAGGAGACGGGCAAAATAAACTGATGATAAGACATTATTGATAAAGACCATCACAATAACGTCATGCAGCTTCTTATGGAGCGTTCATAGTTGGCGATCGTACGTGCGATTAGGCGATGATTCAAAAAGAAAAGTATACGCATCGATTAGGCGATTAGGCGAGTAGGCGATAAGAAAGGATACGTATTGATTTGTTTGCTCCGCCCATTGAGCGATCGCCTAATCGCCTAATCGCCTACTCGCCTACAACGTTCTATGGGCGGAGCAAACCAATCAATACGTACTTAGTCTTTCCCTCGCCTAATCGCCGCCTCATCCATATGCACATTTTTCATTATCGACTATCGCCTAATCGCCTAATCGCACGTACGATCGCCAACTCTGAATGCTGCATTAGGCAGCGCTCAGAGTTGGCGATCGTACATGCGATGATTCGAAAAGATTGTACGTATCGATTAAGCGATCAGGCAAATAGGCGATGAGTAAAATGTATGTATCGATCCGCTGCTCCGCCCATTGAACGATGGCCTAATCGCTTTCTCGTTTAATGGATACTATCCTTCTCTCTTATAGACCAATCGTCTAATCGCCTAATCGCGTGTACGATCGCCAACTCTAAACGCGGCTCGGAACACAGAGCTGGTCTTTGGTCCCTGGCGTGCGCCATGCATTTAACCTTCCGCTCAGATTGAAGTGGGTTTTTGGAACACATTGAAGGGGCAGAAGTCTGCAATATTTCAGACCTGTGCTCCATATCCTTTTGGAAATGTAGCACAGTCAACACTAACGAAAAGGCTTTGTTAGCCTGGGTAGGATCCGATTCACAGAAAGGCGATGAGCGCCCTTCACAACTGCATTATTTATGTTCACTTTCATCTAAGCAATATAATATCTAGGCGTATAAAGTGGTATTACATACTCTATCAAGTAATACAGAAATTTGCAGTAAAAGCTTATACAGCTGGAAAATTATGAACAAACCTGCAGTGAATTCAAATATTCTAACAACTTATAACACCAAGTAACAAAAAACTACCATCGTAGGAATAACAACGGAATATACATTCTCCGGATAACAATCAACTGTGTAAAACAACTACTCGTACGGAAAACAACGAATTGGGTTCAAATAAAACTGCAGATGGACTTCACCAGCACCTCGAGCGAAACGAGCATCCACATTTATCGTGGATTTCTTAAGAAGTGCGGGGGAGAAGTAGATAGACACCTTGTCTTACGCCTTCTTTCCACTCCGGTGTTTCACCTAAGAAAAAAAAAACAGGACAAAATAATATAATAAAATTTCGATAAAATAATGAATATATAGTAAAGTAAAAAATGGTTTTGAGAACAAATACGATTCCAGCGTCACGTTTCAGCCCGGTCGTTATCGTATGCTTACCAAAATGCCACTCAATCCACAATGGAATACCATTAGTGCCATTTCTGAAATGCTTTCCGTGAGCATTTTCCTAACATCAGTTAAAGTGAAAAACTCCGTTTCGCAACGACACCGTGACGTACCTATCGTTCGCAATTTTCGCGGGAAATTTTTACGGACACCCCTTCCAACGAAATTTTAACGACCACCCCGTCACCACCCTCGCCTCAATGGGTCGTCGTTTTCTCATAGATGTAGTCTGACGACCACTCGACACTTTCCTCCAAAGGAGCGGAAGTATATACGTACAGTGAAAAGGCAAAATTTGCCGCTCCTTCACACTACGCGCCCTAAACTCACCCATGAATTCTAAGATTACATCGAATACGACCCTACGACCCCCCCCCCCACAAACTCAACAAAATACCGACCCCCCGTTGGTACTTGTCGCAACATAGGGTTGATCCTGACCGACACGCAATTCACAGCGAAGCACAAGCCCGACGATCTACCATGGCCCTCCCGCGGGGCCACCGGCACGTCCACCGATGCCTAGCCACTCGTCACAGGTCTCTAGTATCAGTTAGAGAGAGCTGCTTAGTGATGCAAGAGGCAGCGCGCGATGAAGAGTCGCATCGATGCAGAAATTCAAGGGTAAGGAAGGGGTCCATCCATTGGGTCGGCACATTTGTCATGGTTTTTCTCTTCATAACTATTCACCACTGACCACCTCTACCTTGATTCTAATTGGCTAGCTTCTGATTGCAGAACCAAACGACAATTGAACTCGCATTTCTGGCTACGTGTGGTGGCCCGTTTTGCGACCAAGGCTGCCGTGACTTGCTTCCTGCGGGATCGTAAAACATGATTCACATAGAAACCGCACTCCTGTCAAATTTCTAATTTTGGCTTTCCAACAACTTCTAACAAAAATGCGCATCTTTCCGTTGGTTGGTCAAACATTAATTTTATTTTTGAATGATTTTTTTTCTTCAATTTTAAAGTATTTCCTAAAAAGCTAAGCTATCTCGACGAATGAATTACTCTGGGCGTTTTGAGTTCGCTCCAAAATCGATAGGCGTTCTTGACGTAGGTCGAAATCGATAGCACCTCAATAGTTCTCTCACTGACCAAACACCTCATATTCCCACAAAGGATGAATATCCACCAAGGCATCCGTGGCTTGTCGCGCCTTCTGAAAACACTAATATGCTAACTGTTCAGATCCAATTTCGAACAAACCAATACAGCTGCGCCCATGTCGAGCGCGAAGGGCGGCTGCTGAGAATAGTTGGATTTGATGGAAATGATCGTTGACCGAGTTCTTGAACCGAACTGGACAAGTTTATTGTGGACGGCATCGCTATTGGGACGCAAGCCCGCCAACTGGGAGGCAGAGGTTTTTCATGCATGTCTACCTCAGATGCACCTGTGTGCTTTACCCATATCCGAGCCTGACCCGCCTCTCCTTGGCTGACTTATTTCAAAAACAATTAACAAACTTATGCGGGGACGCTTACAAAAACTTGGCGCGGGGGGCGGGCGGACAGACAAAGCGAAGCTCCGCGTTTATATATAATATGATATTGATTTACTGCATACCTGAGATATATCATCAAACAAAGACAGGTCAAAGCCGTTCACTATTCCAACTGGTGCGGCAGTGTTCTGAAGGTGATCGAACTTCTCGCATATGCCATACAAAACGGCACTCTGAGTATCAACAATTACTAAACGAAGATAACATTTGCGGGAAGAGATGAGACAGAAAGAAAACGGTAACAGAGAATTTACCTGTGGCTGGATCGTAACAGTTGGTCCGAAACGTTCTCGTAAAGAAGCTACGTCATACCAGAATCGTAAATTCTGCCAAGGAGTCATAGCCGATAGATAGAACGGTTCACCAATAACAACGTCGGGCTGAAATGCAGTGTTTATATGCGACTCCACTATTGTATATGTTTAAATGAACAATTGACAAAGATAGAGTGGAAAATAATTATTAATCATCAGCACTAATTTTATTCGACCACTGCCTCGATTTGAGCTATCCATCAGTATGCGGTCCTAGAGAGATATTGGGGCATGCTATGCTGGTACTGGTAACAACTACTAGGTGACAGCTTCTGCAGTATCTCCTTATCCCTGAGAGGTAGAGTCATACTATTGCCGAGCTTGCAAATACGAAGATCTTACCTTTCTTTGTCCATCGTAATCACAGCGAGGTCAGGATCGCACGTGGAGTGAGTATCTACTCCACGGAAAAAACGCAAGATAGATCGACAGAACTTTCTACAGTACAAGGCAGGGAGAGGACGAGGCGAAGGAGAAAATCACGTATTGCCATGAGCACACCATTAATGTTCATCGCATAGAACGCCGTGATTGAAAGTTTACATCGATGACCTCCTTAGATAATCTTCCACATTGAGGCCCTCATTCGCTGCCCTCACCGCGGAAATGGCGCATGTGCCAGCACCATCAAGCTCAAGAGACCTTAAGTAATCGTTACAGCCTGAAACTGCTACATGATTGCTAAAGTTGTTCAGCTAGGTGAAGAGTTTCCTAGAGACAGCAGCTTTTTATTCCCCTTTATTTACTCTACCGAACAAAATTGTAAAAGACCCTCAGTCCAGTAAAAGGCAAAAATCGGGCTTCAATAAGGGGGTATTATGGCGATTGAAACTGAGTATAGAGATGCGAAGTGGAACGACAGTGGAGAAAAAACTGAGAAAAACCGTCGACAAGGCCGTTAACAAAACCCTCTTTCCCACTAGCAGTGAAGGAGGCTGGCTTGGGAAAGAGGCACGTACAAACAAGTTTTCTGGAGATGTCAGTCGTTCTATCGGTTGATACGGCAATCAACCTAGCTGATTTCACACGTTATGCCAGCCACGCACCACTTCCGGAGGTGGGCGGTCCTGGATTGACCAGGCGGCCCTGGATTGAAACCGAACGCCCCGGGGCCTTAACGGGGTTTTTCAAGGTGGGAAGTTGCTGCAATGTGTGCAGCTACCCACATACAACCTCCAGGCACGGGAATTACTTCTCTAGCGTGCCTGAGCCCGACCTTTGCCTTTAAGAACAAAAGCGGCCGAGCTTAGAATCATCATCCCCGGTTATGAATCTCTTATGTGAGTCAAAACAAAAAGTATATTAATTTTCAGAGCACATTGGTCAGAGACATGTATTTTCAACTTCACCGCGGTCGGTTCTATAGTTGGAGCGGGGGGAGCCATGATAGATTTACCTTCATTTCGGAGACGCAGATAAGAATTAGAATGAGTCTCTACCATAGGTATGTTCATCATAATTTCCCACTACGAGATTGGCCTAACGAACGCAGCAGGCTTTGTCGGTGTTTGAAAGACACAATTGTGACGGTACGAGTTCACGAAAGTTAGACATTTCATTATCATTTCCAAAGTAATGAATCGAAGTTGTCTTCGCCACGAATCATGTTCAAATAGCCATGAACATCATAGTGCGTTGTGAAATGCGGGCTGGGTTTTACCAGTGGTAAGGAAGGGTAGCACTTCACGCCGTTAACGGGATTTCTGAACAAGAACAATTTCGGAACACGCGAATGGGCTTCATCATGAAGGAGGCAAACATTGTCGTGTTTCGGGTGTTTCTAGCAAATAGCGTTGGCTACGTTCTGTAGCGAGAGTAGTTCGCTCAAGCGACCACCGCAGCCAGGGAGTGGTTCGAAACAGAGTCACTAGTTGGACAATTACTCACTTAAAGCGAGGGATTACGATAAGTTTGGACTGGGTTCATAGTGGAAGTGGAGATGCTGAATAATGCCCCAGTGGCGAAAAAAGCAAAGAAATCCGTCAAGAAGGCGCAAAATGGGACCCCTTTCTTTGCCCGTTGACCTCCGATAATGGACGAGCTAGCAACCAATTAGGAGGTCGTTTGCACATGTTATGCTGATAGCCTCTATCATTTCAGCAAGCATCATGCTTTGATTGATCACGCATCCCATGAAAAGTTATAGGATACACTCTGGAAGTGGAATATCTCGTCACATTGGCAATCGAAGGGCGCTGCTGCTGGGGGCGGAGCACAGACCGTGGCGGGGCTCAGAAAGGAATGGCAAGCCTTGTACGCTGCAACTAGCGCACCTTTGACCACAAAAACGCAACATTTCGTTTCCTTGGGCCCCTGACTACTGCTTCCAATGGTGCATGTACTTCCACGCTGCATACGCACTTTATCGTAATCTCTCGCTTTAAGGAAGCAGGTGTTACCCTTACTTGAGGTCACCTTTGCCTATTTTTGAGGCCGCTGTCCGAGCGTTGACCACTGCTGACGTCACGCATGACTGGCACGCTGAACCTAGTTACCGTACCAGGAATTACTATAAAAGGAAGCTTCTTCCCTTAAGGGCAACGAGCCACACTCACCCTTGACTTTCGTCTGAGGAACAGAAAGGACAGCTTTCATAAGGTAATTTACACCCATCTCCAAACTTATGAAATCGGACACGGACAGATGAGCCAGTGGGGTAGGATATTTTGCACCGCCCATTACTTTTTGCTCTACACGGGTTGACACATTCGTTCGTACCTCGGCTTTTATCGAAAGCAGTACACCTACCTCATCCTGACACGTCCGCAACGTTTTCAACGACATTCACATTTTTGAAGTTGTAGTAGGAGATATATCTGAAAATAATGACAGAAGAGATGAAATTCATGGAGTAACTTCCGAGAGATCAACCAACTTGCTGATAATGTCCCGAAAATGGGGATTGGAATCCACGACAGTAACCGCCAAAGCCAATGGCGCTACAAGGAGAAACAACAGTGAGCCTTCACCCAATACGACCACTTTGCGGCCCTCGCATATCTACAACAAATTGATACCTTTTGGATTCACACAACCAAACTATGGAGTGCAGTTTACACGGATAGGTGGCCCCTGTAAGCAGGCCATTTGCCTGAGTCACTGGATGACAAGGTTCAGCGGTTCGGAAAGAGGGAGCGAAGGACGGCACCGAAACCATAAGGGGACATCCGACAGCGGTGTTCGAGGACCACCCTCGTGCTGGATGGCGCTCGATACAAAAATTCAGATCTCGTTCCTAAAGCGTTCTAAAAAGTCGGCAGGGAGAAGAAATGCAACTATGGACAGAGTGAGCTCTAAACTGGGTGATGGTTTCCTTTGAAATTCATAAATAACTCTGCTAAGGGGCGGAAGTGGTGTAGTGACAAGTGGCACGCTTACCACGCGAGCGGTCCGGGATCAAATCCTGGGTCGTGAGTCGCCCGGGCCAACCAAGCCTTCCATCCCTCCGGGGTCGGTTAATTGGTACCAGACTTGTCTGGGAGGAAAACACTGACTTGTACATCGGCTGGCCCCCGCAAGTCATTGTATAGGCCACATCGCATTCAAACGCCACTACGAATGTACAAATGGAAGTAGAATGCGTGCCGCATCCCAAAAAGGGATTGATCAACGGCAAATGCTTTATCCTTTATTTAAGTCCTCTTAGATGACAAAGAAATGGGTATAGACTAGCAAGAAGAATAGGTCAAATGCTCGTGAATGGAGCTAAGATCAAGCATTGTTTGAGGTTCCTGGAGGCAGCCAGGAGATCAAAACAAGAAACAGGAATGGAGACGGGTTATGCCATCAGCCTCAGCGATATGGATAGTGTGCGGAGACGAGATGGTATCATTTGCATGTTCAAATTTGTTCGTAGTTTCACAACAAGTAACGTTTGGGTCACCTACCGTCTTGACTTCGTCACGAAACTGATCATTCTCTAGAAGCTCATTTGCAGAAAATATCGATTGCCTGGCCATTATTGTGTGAAGCTGACAATTACAGTAAATCCTCTCAATACTTCTGGAAGAAAAAATCAAGACAATGTCAGAATCAATGTGATCCTAATTCTGCAGTAAGAACGTACTCCTTCCCAACGGAAAACCACATGCTGAACTCGTCATGACTACACTTCAGTGATAGCGTTTCTCCTTTCTTCACCTGCACACATTGGGGCAGATAGTAGACGGCCTGCATCCAATGATCACGCCACTAAATAACTGACTTTGATATACCATATATCCACCACTTCCTTAAGATCAAATTCTGATATTTAGAATAGTAGGAATTAAGCCTTTCCCGGAGAAAAATGCTGTGGTTAGATCGCAAGCGGGGAGCTTCACACCACAAATGTCGATGGCTTGACAAGGCTTGAAGCGATAAGGTCATAAGATGCGGTACAGCCCCGCCCAACTCCTCTGGCCCCACCAACAAATCAGTGCGCTTCACCGCTACTGAGGATGGGGACTTATTTCCGGTCCTTTTCAATGATATCTTCCCGTTTTTTTTTTCATACTGACGTTACACTTCACAACTTCACCGTCACTTAGAAACGTAATAACACATCAGTTTCGATCCCAGCACTCGCCTACAAACATATGAACAATACAAATACTCACATGATAATCATTGCTTGACCACTTTGGGGACATATCAATCCAGTATTTGCCCGTTCCATCCATATCCAAGTCCCACCTAGACAACATCTTTATCGTGAAGTAAACAATATATGTAGGGCTCGTTGCTAACCACATCAGAATCGCATCCACTTGACCCGACTCCGAGCAGAGTGCAGTTCGGTCGAACGATTCATCGTACACGATTGACTCTGAGGACTCGAAATTAAACCTAAAAAACCATATAATTCCGTATGAACTGCCCTAGGACTTACTTTTCTCTAGCGAAGCTATGGGCAAAACAGTACAGCTTATGCCATTCAGCTTTTAGGTCCCTTCCCCCTCTCCCAACAACAAGGTAGTCTCAGAAAGGCAAGTAAACAGAGAGTATAAACGATCTCAAAAGCAGTCATTACACTTGTTGGGTAGGTTAAAATGAAAAACACACGTGAACGCTAGGAAAGCTTCCGTCAGGCAAGTGTACTGATGAGGCTTCAGCTGGGATAATTGCACATCGAACACGGCCGAAGTTCCTGGGCATTTGCCAAGCGGACAGTCTCCTTTAAAAAGTCATTGAACATGATTTTCCTCGATTGATCGTAGAATCATAAAATTACAAAACAGAACGGAAAATCATAATCAAAGCTCATACCATCAGCAAATCGAGGAATTCGATTGAATTTCGACAGGAAATTGCTTTCAACCGGCTGCACCCAAACACGTCCTCGAGATGGCACAACACGACAACCCGGCTGGAAATTTCTGCATACCCCGTTAAACACGTTGCATGGAAGAAAGAAGGTGGCATGGAAAGAATCAAAACAAATTCCTGATACCTTACCTCCACATGACTGACGAGGGCTTCTTTAAATGTTCTCAATGCTCCTTCACCGATTAATTCCGTGTCAAATACCTTGAAGGTGTGTTTTAGAAACGTGTCAACACGGAGGAAACCTACCCTACCCACCTCGGCAACAATTATATTGGGTTTAGACGACAGCGGAGATAATTCAGTCGAGCGAGATGGTATAACCTTAACAGATTCGGATGGAGAGAAATAATGATTAAAATTCATCTACTTCTTCCCTATGCAGATGTCAGTCTCAATAAGGTCTTGCTGCTGCTCCTCGTAAGCTGATGTTTGAACTAGATGACTACAAGCTGGGAAATGGCAGTTAACTTTCGTGACTAAACCAACCTCGATCTTGTCACTCCATTCGCTCTCGTCAACAATCGAACGAGCGCAATCTGCCATTGGTTGAAACACTTCAACTGCAGTCACTTTATCAGCTCCTTCTCGAGCAGCCATTAGTGACAGTAATCCGGTTCCAGTCCCTTAATTTTTGGGACATCAGAAAATAAAGAGTAAATCGGCTCCAAAAAGAAAATTGAAAAGAAAATGAGGGCTGCGTAGGCAGTAACTGTTGAAAAAGACATTGAAAATTGAAAAAAATGGTCGAAATCTGCGATTAGTTTCCCATAGAACCACTCTAAAAATGGAACGGCTTTCCCAATGGATGTGGGAGAAAGCATTTCGTGTTTGAACAGTTGCTTCATGGGATTCGCCACGCATCCACTTCCACTCAAAATAACAGTTGCACTTGAATGCGCTGTGGTCGATACAATGACATGTGGGCCAGAATAAGTCAGTGTCTTTATCCTTGCAGAGTAGTTTGCTGCCACTATCAACCACGGAGGGCTGGAGATCTTGGTTGGCATGGACGAGAGCGGATCCATTATTTGATCCCAGACCGTGGCATAGCGCCCAGCTCACTGCCTCCACTCAGCTTTCATAAATATCTGAAGAAACGCGAGCAATCCAGAACGAATAACTGTGCCTCAATCGAGAAAAACAATCTAATTGATGAACTGAAGTACGTTTCCACTCCAGCAACTAAACGTGAATCAGTTCATCTTTTAGCAAAATTCTCTCCATTATTGAATTATTTGTCAGAGACATTATCTCACCAGAGCTATAGTGATGTAAATAGTAGCAAGCGGCACTGCTTACCATGCGCACAGTCCGGTGATCAAATACTAGGTGTGCCCGAGCCAACCAAGTTCTACATACACCGTCGTTCCTACATGATCGTACCCCAACTTGTCAGGAGAATAAAAACACTGACTTTAACATCGACTAGGCTCTCAGGTCATTATATAGGCAAACCGCATGACATCATTATTATGCCAAACCGCATGAAAAGTAGATCCAAACGATTTGAGTGGAAGCGGAACGCGTGGTGCATCCCAAAAACTGAATTGATTAGCGTCAAATGCTTTATCCTTCGTTCTTTTATGTTACCAAAACTGGTAACAGAACTCGTTCACAAATCTATCAGTTCGAAATTAATCATGGAAATTCACAAACCGATGTCCATAACATGGGCCTCAACTCCCTGACTTTTCTTCTCTTGTATAACAGCACGAAGACCAGCAAGAAACATGTCGTTTCTGTTGTAATCCAAAATCATATCCGCAAACCTGCTCCTATAAAAATAATACGAGAGACCTGAGTACACCAAGAGTCAGGAATCGACGCCCTTATTATCCTGAGTCCTCGGGAGCCATGCAAGAGATTCCGCATATGAGGTGAAGATTATCCTCCTCATAGATCCGATAGTAACGGTCAAAGAAAAGTGACGGTCAAGTACCTACAGGGAGGATAACCTTCACTTCCTGGACAAGTCAGGGATAACTGAGGAGGAGCCGATTGAAAATGATCTCAGAGGAGAAGCCGGATGAAAATGATCTCAGTTCTATCTCAGGGACAATCCGCTCAATCTCCGAGGCGTGTACAATCCCGAATTTCCATAGCAAAGCATTTTAAAGTGTGTGCATCTCACTCGAAATTCGGGAACGACTGCAAAGGAGATGCACCTACGTAGCGAAAACCCGGAAAAGCACGCATACAGCTTCACATCATGGGAAAGGCGACTACTCAATCAAACTTATGGGAACAATGGTCAAGGGCAGCATCCATGAATACGTTTTAAGAAGTACCCGAAGTCCTCAGCAAAAACGTAGGAATTCATAAAGGAGCCAACCACATCTACTCTACACTTCGACATAGTGAAGATCAAAGCTGAGAAGGAGAAGGTGAGTGAATCAAAGCTGAGAAAGGAGAAGGTGAGTGAAATCACGTGAGCGATCACGTCTGTAGACGTAATTTTTTGTCTTGAGCAGTTTTTCCACCTTTACTTACTAGGGTTTTTTCGCTGCTTGGGACATCAACTCCCGAGCGAGGAGCCAGGCGCTCTGTAGAGCCATACATACATAAGCCCTAGCAGCTCTGGATTGCAGTTCCGAGCGCTAGCGGGTGTACCCTGTTTGGTTACGGACCAACATACTCCCCTTGGACTAGGCTGTCACTCCAATAAGCTAATCGTAGGATGTGCATACGGTCTAGCGATCAGCACTAAAATTTGGTCCAAACGTAATAGTCGAGCGCTACAGACAGCAAATCGTGCTGTTGGTATATATATGGAATGTCTCCAGGAAAATCGTATTCATGTGACTCGTACCTTGCAATCTCTTGAGCCAGGTCGTGGTCCTCCTCAGCGACTTCCCACTCTCGTTCACCCGTCACATGGTTTATTTTTTCAAGGAACATAACCTTCAAGAAGAAAACTGATTATCGGCAATCCTTAACCCCAAACATATATTCAGAAGTATCGTGTAGTGAACCGAAGCCAAAATAGCTTTACATTGAACATTTTGAAAAACTTTGTTCAAATTTCAGAAAGAAATGTGTAAATGCTGACAAAAATAAAGAATCGAAGTCAATATCATGATGAAAACTGAGAACAAATCAGACGGTTGAAATAAAATAAATTGAAATATGCGATTCAGCTATGTTTCTGTGAACATCAACGTCTGAAGGGTCAACCTGACTAGCGGCAAGATATGAACAAATTTTCAACGGCACCATTCTGAGTATGCAAAAAACAACGGAACTGATTGGATTATACAAATGCGATAAACTAGAGACTATGGAATCAACCCTCATTAATTGATAAATAAAACGTGAAACATGACTAGTAACGAGTGCGTAAGAACAACTAGACTAAGAAACAGAAGGAAGATTGAAAAAACGAAAACTATGGATTAAAATCCAAATAAAAATCAATGATCAAAATCATCAGTGTACGAAAAGATCACATTTAACGAGTATCAATCACAGGCTAATTAGTCCTCATAATGCTCACTGGTCTATCTCATTGATGGTGGCCTGGATATCATCAAGCGAAATAGTGTCCCTGACATCGGATACGGTGTTCCATGTTTTAATCGATTCGCAACACAATTTGTGAATTGGCCAGTCAAATTTCTGACAATCAACAGAGCAGTAGCATAACTAAAAAACGCAATTTTCAGATAGAATTAGCACCAGATGTTCACGAAACAAAAAAGCTAGTACCTTGCATTTGGAACAGCGCTTCTTAGCTGTGAATGACCCACAGGTGCCACAAAACTTGCTGACCATCACTAACCGTTGACCGAACAAGCCTTGTACAATGTACTCGAAAGCAGTTGGACGCTCTCCTAGGGGTGTTTTCGACATAGCCTGCAACTCATTTCCGGATAAAAGATTTTAAAAATCATTAAAGCAACGGGAAATGCGTGTTCGGTAAGGTAGGGTCGTAATCAAACAATCTTCGACCCTGTTAGCATTGAAACATGATCCACTTTCCAAACGACACAAGGCGCCTGAGAAAAGAGGCGCGGCCTTTTCTCGGTATATTTCATGGATATTCACGGGCACTGCACTTTTCTATGAACGTTAGTTACGATAACGAAGAACTTATGGGAAATAGCTTTAATCATCGTCAGCATTTGAGTCCGAGGACAGGTCTGTGGATTCTCATCGGCTAATAGAGCACATCTGATAAACTGGAGGATGATAGAGGAAAGAAAATGTGCTCACCTTTACCATTGTCTCATAAAGCAGAGAATGATGATAAGGAAATGCAGCGATAGCGCGTTCTCAGAAGAGTTTCTTCATTCTTTCTGAAATTCAAATATTTCAGGTAATCATTGTTATGGGGCTCACCTAAAAGGAGACAAAAGTGGAGTAATATGATGAGCACGAAGGCTGTGGACAATCTCAAAGAAACAAATGATACCTAGGTAAATTGAAACTCGATTAATAGAAACCACTATTTTACCTGGCTTGACCGAAAGACTTACAGTACTAAGACACTACTAGATTATATTATAGCATCGAAATTGTAACATCTCACCTCACTTGTTCACCAGGTTCCCATTTCAACAGAAATCTGGCATATAAAATACATGCATCGTGAACATTCTTGCCTGCTGATACCAATTCATCGATGAACTTGTAGATCTCTCGCAACACAAAAAGGATTATCCAAACTTTTAATGACATCACCTGAATAGAGAAAAGGTCAAACAGCAAAAAATGGCAACGCGATGATGATTGAGGCGACGGCCTCACCTAACTCATTTCCTGCCTGGGCACGTAGCTGCGGGTGGGGATTTTTCAAATACACGATCCACTACGTACAAAATCTATAACAATAAGTGTTAGATGAAGCGAATAGAGAGCTGATGCTAAAAAATTTAACAGTTTTTCATGATGACCGCGCACCAATTTTGTGTATACTATGCGGTCTTTCTGCTTCATATCAACAAATGAAGTCTAGTCATTTGTTCCACGGTTGTCGTAGGGCATATTCAGTTAGGGGGCATCATGATGCAGTTTCTCGGCGAACTAGTGTGAACTCGAACATTCCAGCTTTTCACGCATGTCAAGTGACTGCCCTCACCCCCACCCCCTAGACTGGCTACACTCCCCCTGACTCGGAGTTACCTTAGCTTTCTGAAAAACTGCATCATGATGCCCCTCCCTTCCCCTTTAACTGGAATAGACCCGTTTCGTGCTCTAAAATCGCATATCTTTTTCAAACTTTCAAAGGGGGTGGGGGAGGGTGGGGAAACAGAATCTTGCTGCCCTTGTATGCTTTACAATTACTTTTCAAAGCTCTATCCTCTGAGTCAGCTCCTCAGCGACTCCAGTTGTGCAATCTTGATTTAGTTGCAGCTCCCTACTGGGCACAAAGGTTCATACCATAAGTGATTACGAATCATAGATGTAATGCGTGGAAGAAATGCTGCAAAATAGGAAGTGACCTACCTTCTTCTTATACTTTATAGCATCCTCATACCCACCTAGTTCCAGTGTAATAGCAACGGGATGGACCTAAAAATCCCATGATCATTAATAGATTCGACAAATAAATTCCTGCGCATGACTCGAAAACGAAACGGGTAATGATAAATCAGCTATGACATGTTGTGCATGCTAAGAGTGATTTACTATTACACGACTCAATTTTCGAGTCATGCCAGAATTCTGGAGCATGCGAAATGCACCAGAATTTAGCCCAGTAAAGCTGCTCGAATGAAGAGCAAAGAAATTGTATAAGTGCGCATGAAACTGGCTCTTTTAAGAACATTCTGGACTATTAAGATGAAGATAGAAGCAGTATGGAAAATTCGACGAGTACGAAAATTCACGCTTCTCTCAATCTCACAATTTGAAATGTGAAAGCGCGTTAATGCCTGACATAATTTCTTGCTGTGAAGTAAGGCAGAAAATGAAGGAGTGTTGCACTCAGTTGGTGCATTACCTGATGCCAGCTACACATTTTGTGTATAAATCGAGATAGGTGATCTGGGTAGACTTCCACTGGAGCCGAACCAACTTGCGGTGAGAGGAATCTCTCGATCTCATCGATACTCACATGATTGTTGATTATGGAAACACATTCGTGCTGGCCTGAAAGATAAAAAATCAACGAGTAAGGACATAAAAGAGTACAAGTCGCCACCAAAGATTACCTTACCAACAAAAGCCGCTAGTTCACTGGCGGTTTTTCCAATCGAGTTAGTTGAGTAGGAGCGTGCGCCATGATCCATCAAATTTTTGCAGATGTCAGGTCTTCCTGAAGAAGCAACGCTCAAAGGAAAACATGGAAAATGG